CAGGACAACAAAAATCTATCATGTTTTGACCCAGTTAAGTTTCAGATTTAGTTTAAGCATCTGAAAGTTCAGTCTATTTAAAGAACCTGTCCTATTGTTGTCTCTGGTGTACTCAGTAACTCTTTTGTTGAAGTTTAAGAGCTGTTAGAAAAATGAGAGTTACCAGTTGTTTTATTCAAAGTTTTGAACTTGAAACTGGTATAAAGTCACTAACTGGGACCACTAAAAATTACCATAACACTAAAACAGATTACAATGAACAAATACAGCAGGGTGACAGTTGAAGTTTAGTTGAAACATTGAAGAGAAAAAATACAATAAAAATAAAGCTATTTTGGCAGCATCCAAATAAAACTGTAAAAAAATATATAGAAGTTGTTATTTCTTAGCATATTTAAACCTTATGTTTCAACGACATACAATAAATTGTAACAGAAGACAAAAGAATAGTCTTAAAACTTTTTAAAATTTTCAGACATATTTCTCTTTCTTATTCTTTCTTGATACCAGTAAATCTACTTTGAAATCCACCCCGAATAATGACTATGATAAAGGTTTTCTTTTTTTTTTTTTTTTTTGAAGGCAATGATAGTCTCTTTATCCTAAAACAGTAATAACTGTAACTCTTACAACAGTTTATCATTATTCAATATGATTTATACTTTAAAAAAAGCAAAAAGTTTTTCTTCTTGTTCTACATTGAGATATAGCCGGTTTTATGGAAAAAGAAAAACTTGGTTAATGCACCTCTTGCTTATTGTTTCGTTTTTTTTTCTTACACTTTTCTTTTTCTTACAACATCAAAGATACGACATTAGCAAAATGTTGAAAAAAATGCATGTAAAAACAAAAAAAAAATAAATAAATAAATAAATAATTTTAACAGCAAAGAGGTGTTTCAACTAAAAATAGAAATATAACGTTGATTGATTAATTAACCGTCTAATTTACAAATTTTATCTCTGTAGTAAAGCATAAGATTTTCTTTTTTTTTTTTTTCAGATACAAATTGTTCAAAAATTAGGCTTTAAAAAGTTGTTTTTTTTTTTTTTCTTTTCATTTGCATGCCTTTCTCTTTTTCTTTTGTTTTTTTTTTTCAAGCTTAATGTCACTCAGTTTGAAGTTGAGATTAAATGTGACGAAAGCAACGATAACCGGCTCCCAGTGCTTTGTTTAGTTGTATATTTGCTTTGTTCCGAAGTGTCGACTCAACGAATACAGTTGGGACAGTCGGACAAAAAGTGAAACAGTTTTTTTCCCTTTATTGTACAAAGTCTTTTTTTTTTTTTTTTTTTTTCAGTTTGAAATACAGCCTAATTCAGCTTAACCAAAAAATTATTCCATGATCAATTTTTACAATCAACTAATAACAGGAAAAGAAGAAAAGGAAGAAGGAAGAAAGCCGATGGTTAGTGCTTTGTTGGTCGTCGGCTTTTTTTTTTTTGCATCTGCTGCAAAGAGTAAACAGTGTAAAGAGAAAAACTGCTTTTTCCCATTTCTTTTTTTTCTTCTTTTGTTACACGAAAAAAAAAAAAGAAGGAACCTTCTTAAAACTTATTTATCATTAAATTTAAATTGCTTAAGTTTCTTCTCTTTCTTTTTTTTTTGCTGCTTTCGCATATCAGCAGGTGGTAATTGTATTTAGTTCAAACAGTTTTTTTTTTGACCAAAACATTGCTAATCGCTCCGTTGTTGTTTAATGCCGCGTCATCAGATTACGCTTTAAATTGTGCAAAACTATTTTTCATCACAACAAAATATGCAGCAAAAAAAAAAAAAAAAAAATTTTTTTT